TTTAGAATTTTTCCTAAGATTCATGAGCTGCGTTTGGTTTCATATGTTCTGTTTATGAAAACAGGAGGAGAATAAGATCGTAGACAAAATGCATCGACTAAAGGTTTCAGAGGTTGAAAAGCTAATCCAATCTGTTCGTGAACTTGAAGAAGCTGTTTTGGCTGGAGGAGCTGCTGCCAATGCTGTGCGTGATTACCAGCGGAAAGTGCAAGAGATGAATGTAATTACTCTTATTTTTTTGAGCTTCTATTTTACTAGTTGTAGTTATTGTGATGGCATAGAATTTTCCAAACTGCTTCTGACTTCCAAAACTTGCATAGGAGGAGAAAAAGTATCTAGAACGAGAAGTAGCACGTGCTAAGGTTTCTGCAAACAGGGTTGCCACAGTAGTTGCCAATGAGTGGAAGGATGGCAATGACAAAGTTATGCCTGTAAAGCAGTGGCTTGAGGAGAGAAGATTTTTTCAGGCATGTTTTGCTATGAAGCATGTGCTTGATATTACTGTTTGATGTCTTTGGATCTGTTGGTTGGATGTTTTGTAGTTTGTTTCAAATAAAAAAAAAATGGAAGGAAGAGAAATTATTAAGATAATAAAAATGTTAAAGTTTCACTCTGGACTTGATATAATTTTAATTTACCAAATTTGTAGGGAGAACTGCAACAACTTCGAGATAAACTGGTTGTAGCGGAGCGCACTGCAAAGGCAGAAGCACAACTGAAAGTAAGTTAGCCTGTTTTGTTGTTATTACTGCTTTATTACCTGTTTAATAACTTCTCCTTGATAGCTTATTGAATTGATTGATTGCTTAGGAGAAATACCACTTACGATTCAAGGTTTTAGAGGAAAGGCTTAAAGCATCTAATGTGAACTCTCGCACTGCCTCTGAAGGAAGATGTATAAACAACGGGCTTTCACGATGTCAGTCTTTCGGTGGAGCTGAAAGTTTTTCCAGATCTTCGAATGGCTATCTATCAAAAAAAGCAGTGAATTTACAAACTGGGTCCCTCCGATCAAATAGTGCAATTGCCTTAGTGAGGAATGCCAAGATGTCATCAAGATCATTTGATGGTGGTAGTAGATCATTGGATAGAGGTAATCTGATTCCAGTTGCAACTGCAAAAGATAATTTTCCCACCATCACTAATGATCAGACCTCAAGTACTGAGATAACTATTACACATGACGAGAGTATGGATGGGATTCTAACTGAAAAATCAAAAACACAGCTTGAAGATCATGTTTCAGGTGTGTTGTATGATCTGTTACAGAAAGAGGTAATAACTCTGAGGAAAGCTTGCCATGAAAAAGATCAAAGCTTGAAGGACAAGGATGATGCGATTGAGGTTAGATACAGTTGCAGCCTCTACCATCTCATTCGTTTTTCTCGTAATTAATTTTTTTGATTTCATTGCAAACTTGAGCAGATCTTGGCAAAAAAGGTTGACACATTGAACAAAGCAATGGAAGTTGAGTCCAAAAAAATGAGAAGGGAAGTAGCTGCCATGGAGAAGGAAGTTGCTGCCATGCGGGTTGGCAAGGAGCATGATCAGCGAACAAGGCGCACTAGTGCTCCCAAGGCAGCTGTAACTAGCCCTCATTTGCTCTCTGCAAGGTAATACTTTTTTAGTTTGTGCAATTAATTTCTATGAAATAGTTTAATTTACTGGATGTGCTTTCGTTTCTTGAATACTCTTCATATGGGGAGAAAGAGAGTTGGCTATATTTACAATTAGCATAACATGAGAATTGCTGAGTAAATTCTGATTCGTTTTCCAGGAATGCACGAAACTAATTGGAAATTGACGTAGGCGTGATACATTAGCCAGGATATGGCATGTTTTAATTCTTTATTAACTCTTGTATTAGCTGTCTCAACAAGTTAGTACATTTGTAAAGAACTTACTCTAGGTTTCTAGGAAATATTTGTATGTATATTTATGTACTATTATTGAAAATCATTAAAGTCAAGTGTGCCACAAATTTGTAGACAAAGTTTGCCTTAATAAAGTTTTTTCCATCTGAAACAAGGGTTAAGAAACAGCTTGCTATATGAAGTCATAGCCAGACCTGAAAGCAGTACTATTGGGAAATGTTTACTCTAATAATAAATTTTAGGGATATTATCAATGTTTTCTGTATTTGCAAGAAAAAGGATACAATTTTTAAAAGAGATAAAACTCTGTTAATCAACCTTAAGTTTAACGAAAAAAAGATAAAAGACATAAATGTCCATATACTAATATTTATTAAAAAAAAAAAAAAAAACCCTATGTTTTTTTCTAAAAAAATAACAATGAAAACTGAAAAAAGATATAATAATATTTATAAAAAAAATTATATATATATATATTAACATTAAGGATGTTCATTATAAAAAAAAGATATAATAATATAATACAAATTTATTTTTATAATTATACAAAATTTAAAACTATATGAAATTATAAATTTGACCAAGTGTCATTTTCACCCGTTCCAAATGTTGAATCTAACTCCTTTTATGAACACTACTTTTAAGTGTTCTAAGTGCCCCTTCCATTGTTTACTGAAAACCAATAAATCATCAAAAAGTATCAACATAAATTTCCTCAAATACTCAAATATATGGTTTAAAAATTATGTTCAAAAGGCTGTAGAATGTAGATGGACCATTAGTAAGGCCAAAAGCTATTACCAAGAACTCATAATGGTCTTCATGAATCTTAAAAGCAATTTTGTGGACATCAGCTAGAAGAACATAGCTCCATAGCTTCATGAATTTGGTGATAACCAGCCTTTAAATCCATCTTCGAGAAGAACATAGCTCCATGTAGTTCATCTAAAAGCTCATCTATCACCAGTATTACAAACTTATCCTTGATTATGGTGTGATTTAACGCCCGATAATCCACAATCATTCTCCAACTTTGAACCCTAAACTTTTCTGAATACTACTGACTTCAAGCATAACATTAACTAGTTATTCAATCTCACTTTTTTGCACATGAGGGTATTTATAAGGCTTTATGTTTAGAGGTACCCTATCTAGTAACAACGAAATACGATGGTCTTGAGTTCTCGTTGGCGGTAATCCAAGAATATGCGATCATATTGCTTCAACAATCTTTATAAATCATCAGGGTTTTCTTCAAGTAATATTTTTGTTAAAACGTTGGATTATACTTCCAATCGGATGGAAATAATATGGGCAACAGCTACTTGCGGCACTTGTTTAAGATCTTTCTCCATATGAGTAGTAGAAACTGATTTCAAGGGCCTAGTAGTTGATCCTCGTAGCACAAACCTTTTCCCTTCAAATTTAAACTTCATCCACAAATTCTTGTTCTTTTATGTCGAAACAGGAAATCACGTTTTTGCAAATTCGCTACGGCAAATTTATTTTGCTATTGCAAGCAATCACGTAGACACCAATTTCACTACAGCGAACCAATTCTCGCTATAACAAATAGTTATTGGAATTTGTTAGCGAATTCACTCGCTAGAGGGAATTCAACAACTTTTGAATTCCAACTTCTTCTTCACTTAGATCAATCTCCTATGATCATTTAGGATCAAGTAAATAGTCCTAGACTTCTTAAGTAAATATAAATCTTATTTTAGCTCTATTTTTTCAGCTTCCTAAGACTTTCAAACAATTTTGTGAACAAGTTACTTATGCCATTCATTTGTCCAACACATCGTTCTTCATTCCTTAGCTAAGCTAAATTATTCACTTATATTCCAAAATTTAAACTTTAATTTATCAATTCTGAAACTTCTCCTCAATTAATGTTGAATAAAGATAGGTTAATAAACACTTCTCATAACTTTCTCTCACAAACGCTGGTGTGAGAACTTGTAATTGGTCAAGTCGCATTTGGTCAGGCGGGGCCCATTGTTGGGCAGACAGAACCCATTGCGAGCTGACCAATTACAATCTGACACATCGCGTTTGTGAGTGTAGTATTACTGATTATTGTTTGCTTCCGTATTGATTCTTTATTTTTTCGTTAGTAGTTCTTCAACGATATTTCGTAATCTTCATCAACATATACGACTCAAGACTTTGCTCAGACTCCGACTGACTCAATGCTGACATCAATACAACTCTCTATGTTTACTCACACATACCTCTCATATGATTCCATCTTGTATTACTCTTAATAATATTTATTTTGTATCTTTATACAAAGACAAGACTTATACATTACTAACAAATAAAATCTTGTCACATATTAACATAGAGAAAGTTCTTCTCAAACTCCACAAAGAGATATTAGTACTCAACAATACTATTTTGACTGTAATGTTTCTTCTCTCCTTCTTGTCTTCAACAAATGATTCAATACTAATTAACTCACCTCAACTAGTACTTGTTTCTTTCTCTTGATACAGTTCATATTAGCTTCAACAAAATAATATAGAAAAATGTTTACTTTCTCATGTATTGTTCTCAAACTTTACGATGTTCTGTTTCTTTCTTTCCTATGCATCACTTGATACATTTCTCTTCAGATAATCCAATATAGCTCAAGCATTCCTCAAACATTTTCATGTTTTGTTCCTATGACATTTGTTTTCTCAAACATACTTGACAATGGATATTTGCAAGCATACGNGCTACGGCAAATTTATTTTGCTATTGCAAACAATCACGTAAACACCAATTTCACTACAGCGAAGCCCAACTCACTATAACAAATTAGTTATTGGAATTTGTTAGCGAATTCACTCGCTAGAGGGAATTCAACAACTTTTGAATTCCAACTTCTTCTTCACTTAGATCAATCTCCTATGATCATTTAGGATCAAGTAAATAGTCCTAGACTTCTTAAGTAAATATAAATCTTATTTTAGCTCTATTTTTTCAGCTTCCTAAGACTTTCAAACAATTTTGTGAACAAGTTACTTATGCCATTCATTTGTCCAACACATCGTTCTTCATTCCTTAGCTAAGCTAAATTATTCACTTATATTCCAAAATTTAAACTTTAATTTATCAATTCTGAAACTTCTCCTCAATTAATGTTGAATAAAGATAGGTTAATAAACACTTCTCATAACTTTCTCTCACAAACGCTGGTGTGAGAACTTGTAATTGGTCAAGTCGCATTTGGTCAGGCGGGGCCCATTGTTGGGCAGACAGAACCCATTGCGAGCTGACCAATTACAATCTGACACATCGCGTTTGTGAGTGTAGTATTACTGATTATTGTTTGCTTCCGTATTGATTCTTTATTTTTTCGTTAGTAGTTCTTCAACGATATTTCGTAATCTTCATCAACATATACGACTCAAGACTTTGCTCAGACTCCGACTGACTCAATGCTGACATCAATACAACTCTCTATGTTTACTCACACATACCTCTCATATGATTCCATCTTGTATTACTCTTAATAATATTTATTTTGTATCTTTATACAAAGACAAGACTTATACATTACTAACAAATAAAATCTTGTCACATATTAACATAGAGAAAGTTCTTCTCAAACTCCACAAAGAGATATTAGTACTCAACAATACTATTTTGACTGTAATGTTTCTTCTCTCCTTCTTGTCTTCAACAAATGATTCAATACTAATTAACTCACCTCAACTAGTACTTGTTTCTTTCTCTTGATACAGTTCATATTAGCTTCAACAAAATAATATAGAAAAATGTTTACTTTCTCATGTATTGTTCTCAAACTTTACGATGTTCTGTTTCTTTCTTTCCTATGCATCACTTGATACATTTCTCTTCAGATAATCCAATATAGCTCAAGCATTCCTCAAACATTTTCATGTTTTGTTCCTATGACATTTGTTTTCTCAAACATACTTGACAATGGATATTTGCAAGCATACGGAATCGTACAAGTAATACAATTTGACTAACGTACGTCAAATCCTAGAGAATTACTAATTACCAAGTACCAAAATAAACTATCCTATTACTATTAGATTAAACGAAACATTAAGAAATGAATCAAATTAAAATTAACAAATTAAAAGAAAACAAGATTTACACAAAGAGTAATACTACACCGACAACTCTTTCTCACAAACTTTGTCTTACAACTTTGACGTGACAGTTCGCAATTGGTTAACTCGCAATTAATTAGTAGGACCCATGCGAGACCCATGTGAGACCCATTGTGAACTGACCAATTGCGAGCTACCACATCAGGGTTGTGAGAGAGGGTTGTTGGTATAGTATTATTCTTAAACAAATATATTGGTTGTAATGTTATTTGATTAAACCTAGAGCATAGACTTCACACCAATTCTACTCCTATGTATTGATAATTATTGCTAATATCATGAAACTTTTTCTATAGGCCAAACTCTCTAGAATTCCAAAAAATTTCTCTCGAACAATTACTGGATTAACACTTTATCACTAACCCAAGATATCTCTAAATTGGATTTAAGTCTTAAGAGATCTTTCAATGGAATTTACCAAAGTCTCACAGATCGCAGTAACCTATCTCTAGCGTTCGCTCAATCTATGATTTTATTATATTAGACTAATTAGATTTCATCTCTCGATTTCAACTTAGTCCATTAGATCAATCAACTCTTGGTACCAAAAGAATTGAAGCATTAAGAACCATAATAAAATATAGAAAAGAATGCTTAACAAATATTAACAATAATTAATGAACACATATTCATAAATTTAGGCTACATCTTAACCCTAGATAATAAATTTAGTTCATCATTGTTGTTACAGATGAATATGACTTCCTAGATTATAGGGATCACTTCTATCCTAATTTAGATTGATCACCTACCAAGTTTAGAACGCTACAAGTGTACATAAATATGTATCCTTTTAAGCTATGAATGAGAAGAGTGAATATTCATTACGTTTATTTACATGGTATTAGAGCCTTAAAAGATAATTAGGGTTTGGGTCTCAAAATTGGGAAATTAGGGTTTGGGTTTCAAATTGGGAAAACCTGTTTAGGTTGAGATTTGTTTAACACCGCCACCCAAAG